AAGAAATAAAGCACCAGCTGGCTTCAAAATAAAAAAGAACTACTTAGGCATGATGATAGAAACCTGTAGTCAGGAGTCTGAGGCAGGAGGATGGCTTGAGCCCAGGAATTTGGGGCCAGCMTGGACAACATAATGAGACACTGTCTCTTAGGGGGGAAAAAGTATAACTACTATTTAACAGTAGCAGCAGCTATCATCAGGAACATGGAGGAACAGAAAAGGCACTATTAGACACACATAAAAGATGAGTATTCTATTCACTAATATAGCAAAAATAAATTTAAGTAAAACTCCTAGCTAAACAGAAAGTGGTAATTTCTATTTACCTAGCATGTGTAAGGCCCTGGCACCACAAAAAACTAAACATACAAAAATAAACCAGTCATTTCATAGAAATATAGATAAATTGCTACAAGTAAGTAAACTAAAATACTTCAAATATATACCTTATATTCGAAACAAATTTCAATTGTTTATAGAAAAGCCACTTATGTAAAGATATATTAGAAAATCAGATAAGAGACCTGGGGGAAGGCTTTTCTTTCTTTCATTGTTTCTCTCCCAAAGTTTACTTAGAATATTAGATCATCATAAAATGACTCTAAAACTGAAAAGAGCTTCATTAAAAGACAGTTGTCACAAACTGGTTCTTTGCTGGCCAAATCTGTCCTGCAATATACTGGGGGGAAAAGTTKTTAATATTTAAATACAAGAAGAATACACATAAAAATTGAATTCATATTCCCATACAAACCTGAATCTGAGGAGCAGGATCTCTCCATCAGGTCAGTTCCTACCTAGCCTGCCATATTCAATTATTATTATTTGCCAACTTCTATGGGATTTTATTTATATTTTATTTAACTTCTATGGACTTGAAGTTTTCAACTCCTATCCTATGTCTTCCTTGTATCCTCAGTCTTGGGCCAGTACTAGATTCTAGGATCCCAGGGACCAAAGAATCACTTCCACCTCACTATCACAGTTTTCTCATACCTGTGCTTTAGCAACCTGGGWGATCTCTTTTCAATGAGTCCTTACTGCCTAGTTAGCACCACCCACAACCTGGCACTGACAGTTCTTAAAAACAAACAAACAGAAAACCCCAACTTAGGTTATTTTCAGAAATGTCATCTTTATTTATTTTTTAAAATTATCTTTATTTTTTTAATTTAATTTTGTATGTGGTGCTGAGGATTGAACTCAGTGCCTTACGAATGCAAGGCAAGTGCTCAACCACTGAGCTACAACCCTAGCCCCCAGAAATGTCATCTTTAGGGTACCAACATAAACAATCCTGCCAAGAAACCTATTTTTACAAAGATAACATGAATTCCAAATTTTGTTTTAAAAAGCCCTCCCTTTCTTCCTTAAATTATCAAAATCAAGAAGTCAAAATATTCACAATTAAGGACAAAGTTAATAAAAGCTAGAGAAATAATTTCTAGAAGAAATCTACTAAGTATACAGAAGGTGAAAAACAAGTTTGCATTCAATAACTATGATTGTTTGAGGAAAATATTAACCCAGTATCACCAAGAAAATTTCTCACAACTACCAGGTCAAATGAAAATACTATCTTAAGAATCAAATTACCCTTTCTAGAGGTCATTGGACTGCWGAAGAGACATTTTTTTCCCTCAGGCAGCAGCAATATTGTGGTGTAAAATGATCTATCAAGAGGCAAAATAGCTAACACAATGTGATAATAAATAATTCACTAAAAAGACTATGATCACAAGCAGGGTACAAAGTTATCATTAATGCCCTCCATAGAGTCCTCAAATAAATTACTCCTAAAAGAAGCAGTCAATCCATATTGGTGATCTCATTTCTAAACCCCAAGTCTAAAATGTACCTGAGATCTCCACACATGTGGTATCAATGTGATAAGAAAATGCATTCTGCAAATAACAGAAGCTCCTGCTCTCAAGTCTCACTTTAGGAAGGTGGATTCAGATGCAGGAAGTGTTACTTGCTATAAGTTTTAATAAAATCACAACAATATAAACACCTAAGGAATGTTTATTTTTCTTATTTTTAAAAATTTCTATTSAGATTATTTAGGTTACTGAAAGCAAGTATTTTTATAAAAAATACACATATATATTTTTTCAAAGAAAGTTGCCACTTGAAAAAAGATTTCATAAAACTACCACTCCAACTGTAATGCCAGCTATTTTAARTAGCAGCTAATATTTATTGACCAACTACTATGTCTAGGTACTACTTTAAGTGCTTTAYATTTATTTTCTTGAAAAATCTAAAAATAGTCCATGAGGTAGCTATTTTTATTAGCCTTTTAAGGATGAGAATATTGATGCAGAGAAAGCCAAGTACCTTTCCTAGGGTCACACAAAATTTGGYTGTACATTTAAGCAATCTGACTATAGATCCGTATATGCTTTAACCACTATATACTATTCTGCTACCTTTTGATCTCATTGAACCCTTCAAATGTCTAGAAGCCAGCCAATTTTTAATAGCTTAGAATTTGTAGATAATTTGGGAATATTATGAAACATTAGCTTATTGTACTACTCCCTGTAACTAGGTTCCTTATTTTAATACATTTGGGATTCTCGAATTAAAATAAAGTTAGAGATTTTTACCTACAARATTTCTCAGGATATTTAATAAGGTTAATGTGCATTATGAATCCCCATGAATGCAACATAGTATGAAGTATTAATCAAAATGCTGCCAGCACAAGATTAACTTCTTACTTAACAGACCTATGTAAGCTGCTCCAAGGAGAAATATTAGAATGTACATGTTCATGACCATTTATTCTATATTTTTAAAAGGTTCACAAGAATATTGACAGGCACAGTGGTGCATGTCTGTAATCCCAGTGGTTCAGGAGGCGGAGGCAGGAGGATTGATAGTTCAAAGCTGCCCCAGCAAAAAAAAAGCGAGGTGCTAAGCAACTCAGTGAGACCCTGTCTCTAAATAAAATACAAAACAAGGCTGGGGATGTGGCTCAGTGGTTGAGTGTCCCTGAGTTCAATTCCCGTACCAAAAAACAAAAAAKGTATACAAAAATATTAATTCTGTTACTTTACAGCTAACCTTTATATGTGCCTATCATACACCCAACAATTAAGTGGTAAAATCCATGAGATTTTTTTTTWAAACTACATATCTCTCGGGGGCATACTTCTTTAGTAAAACTGCTTGTATTTKGTATATGAGAGATACCCATAGTTATCAGTCATAATTTTCATCCTGGAGTTGTTCCCTGTGATGAACCTAACC